TTTTTTTTTGAAATTTTCAAATTTTGACCCGGCCGGGTTATGAAAACCATTTAATTAATTTTGCATGGCCTAATAATGTTTAAAATATATTAATGTCCAATCTACTACATTTCCTTTTGAATACGTATATTTGTTAATTAAAATTAAAAAAAAAAAGACTAATTTTTCTTGTTTAAAATATTGGCAGCATCGACCCATAAGAAGCTAGGATCCCTAGCATTACTCTCATTATAATAAAGTCTATAATCAGCAGGTTTAAATAAATATTCTAATACACCTGTTGCGGTATTACTATTTTTGTCAAAATCATGAGCTTTAATAACAGCAAAAAAAAGTGTGTTCATTTCTTTCGGAAGGTCGAAAAATTTAGTATCACCAGCTGAACCTGCAATCACATTTTCAGATGTAGCATAGCCACCAGGAAAAGTGGAAAATGACATCGGTGTGTCAAGAAGCCCACCAACGGAAATTGTTTTTACGTTATGGAATTTAGAAAGAAATGAAGTTATTAATGCACATGTAGATATACAAAATCCATTAGTTAAGATGATGATATCTTTACTAGTCCATCGAAATGGTGATGTACTATTGAGTAATTTCTTATCATTAGGTGATAAAATATCAAGGTGCAAGCTAGAGGATAGATTTGTTCGAGATCCTATGAAATCATTAGCATTCTTAAAGGGTTCGCCAGAAGGAAATGACAAATAAGAATATGGATTATAGACATCAAAATCATCAGAATGTGTCTTAAATTTCTCTTCTATTACTGGAATAGTATAATTATTAATCTTTATACTTGTTGGAAAAATGTTTGGTTGTTCTTGTGATCGAAATAATAATAAATTTGTAAATATGGCTACAGAAACGTCTCCACCAATATTATTTGACATATCCAAAATAAGCTGTCAAAAATTATGAAGTAAATACAAAAGTAGATATGGTATATAATACTTGTTTAGTACAGTTATTTAATCTTTACCTTTTTTGCACCTAGTTTATTTAATTTATCAAGACCATCTGCTAGAAATATATTAGATTTTTCGTTTTCCTGAGTAATTACTGCGACACCAACTGTTCCATTATTTACTAAGTAAAAATCTTCAGTTACATTTTTCGCATGTTTAAATTGTGACTTTTTATTATTTTTATTCCTTGATGCCGACACTTTATATTTTTTATTTGAAGTTGATTCTGTAACTTTATCTCGTGAAGTTAATTTTGTACCATTGCTACTTGAAGTAGAAGTATTTCGTAAGCAAAAGTTATCAAAAAAAGCACTATCGTATACAATAGCCCATTCTCTTTTTAATTTAAATGATTTTTTTTTCGGACATTTTAAATTATATGTAATACTAGGAGTTTCAGGAAAATCATTTCGCAAAGTAAATTGTTGTGAAAAAAATCCCGAACTAGGAGATAAAGCCATGTTGAATCGGACTCCCAAATCTTTTGAATATGAAATACTATTATTTGCAAATTCAATTATTGCTTGTATTGCAGGTTTTCCATCAATTTCGGTAACTTCACAGTCATTATTTGATGGGTCTAATTTATCATCTAAAACCTTTTGATAAATAAAGATATTCATTAGTAATCTTATGTAATTAACATTAATACGATATATATGATAATTTTCGATATAAAAGTTTCGCATTCATAATAAAAAATTTGATTTTACTTATACACACCACTCTGGTTATATCGACATTTTTGAACCATTAGTAAAAAAATTCAAAATGTCGATATAGTGAGTTATACCGACATTTTATATTAAAATTTTTGAAAAAAAATGTCGGTATAGAAAGGTTTTACTATATCCAGATGTCGGTATAATCAGAGTGACGTGTATTGAGAATTCATTAATAAAATTCTTATCTATATTTTCTAAATTGAGAGTTATTTGTATAATATTATTCTAAATTATATAATTAATTATATAATTAATTATATTCAATTACCTTAATTATCTATCGTATTATTCGATAATTTATTATAATATAAGTTAATAATAATAATAATAATAGTTGTATACCCAAGTGATACCAATATCTGAAATTACTTTACTTGTTTTTTCTTTTTTTCTTTATCGGTCGTAACTACAGAGTATAAAGTTAAATTTTGATCATAAACAAAACCCTGATAGCAATTATTAATAATTCTTGTATGGCCATCTTTTAATTTGAAAATAGTATTTCTTAAAGCTGTCTAGTTAATTTAAAACTTTAATGTTAACATTTTTTTAATAAATAGTAAAGTATATGTGCTTATTTATAATATACATACCGTAAAGTCGTAATCCGATTTAAAAGGTTTTTTACGTAACAACTCTCGTTTATTATGTTTACGCGTTGATAAGTAAATCCCTTTGGTGGATCTTCATTGGCCTCGTCAAAGAAAGCATAATAATTTGACATGAAGTGTGATACAGCGTCAATCGTCTTTGTTTAAAAAAAAAAAATAAAAAATTAACATAAATTATGAAATTTTTAATAAATCAACAAAAAATATTAATGATTACATCGTTAGCGAATTTAGCATCAAAAGGAAAGCTCTCAATGCATTCCTTAGCAACATTATATTCAATTAATTCATTTTTGGCGGCTGCTTTGGATACTTTCTTGCATTTGGATTTGGGATCAGTCTTTTGTGATTCTGAAGATGGCAAAATAATTGCTAGCAGTGCCACAAAGAGTATAAGGTATATATTAAATTTTGAATAAAATTGAATCATTTTCATAATCAGTTTTTATATTAAAATCTGAGTACACGAAGCGCTGTATTAAAAAATAATATTTTTTAGAAATTCACGAAAAGTGTACCTAAATAACAGGCAAACCTTTATAGGAAAAAATTTTTTTAATCTTTTTTTTTTTTAAGATTGACATCCATGGGCTTATTAGAATTATGATGATGCTACGTTTTAAAATTTAAAAATAACTCTTATATAGACGAAAATTGCCAAACCTATCTTTTTTTTTTTTGAGAAGATTGACATCCACGAGTTTATTGAATTATTATGATCTTACGCGTGAAAATTTAAAAATAACTCTTATCTAGACGAAAATTGCCAATCCTACATTTTGGGACACTTAAAGAACAGTGAACCCAGTGATCATCACATCACGTGAAATAATGGAATGACGTCATTTTGTTTACTAGCACTAGCAGATTTGGCCTAAACTATACTATCACCTAACCCTAACACTAACCCTAACTTAGGTTGAATGTTTAATTATGTGATGTGATTATCACGAAGATATCACTGGGTTCACTCTTATTGAAACTACCCCTACATTTTTCATAATAATTTAATATATCAGTACTTAGATTCGAATTGAATAGGATTATCCTGAATAAATTATCGAATACGAAAATCTTGGCATTTGGATGACGGTTGTAAATCCACCATCCATTTATCCGACATGCTATATCTGGCAGATCCGATTAAGTTAACAGTATAGAAGTTGCTTTTATATTACATGTGATAAATGTTTTACAGATCGTTAGAACGTCAACATATTCAAATATTATTTAATTTTCTCCTGAATACATATCAACATGTTTGGCATGTTTAGTTTGTATGAAAATTTATGAAAGAACTGCTCTTGTCAACAAATAAACCTTAGCAAAAAACAGTAAAAGACTTTGGATATAAATTAGACTTTTACAAAATTGATGCAAATGGGGGGCTGCCAGTAGAAACCAAGCAAATTGTTTTTAATGAGTTTTTTAAATCAAAATATCTCAACAACTATTAAATTAAACTTGATAAATTTTTTTTTATTTTAATTCTATAATTACATAAAATTAAAATAAAAAAATTTTTATCAAGTTTGGTTTAATAGTTGTTGAGATATTTTATTTTAAAGGTTTAAAAAAATTTACTTAAAAACAATTTGCTTGGTTTCTACTGGCAGCCCCCAAATATTAAAAAAAAAAAAAGGATTTAAATAAATATTACTTTTTGTTTGTATATATGTAGTTGATATACGTACACCACTTCAAAAATATCATAAGACTGATTTTACGTCTAACCAAAGTTTCATCTTTAATTGTAACTCATATAAATACCAATTATATTTTTTCCATTAAAGTTTTAAGATAGCTTATATCGTTAAGGTTTAGTAAACGCATTTTCTATAAACGACGAAAAATTTTCAATATCTATATGAGTGCTGCCAAAGGAAAAGGCCGTTCGGACTTTCAATTATATTTGTGTACAGTTAACCGTCTGTGGAAAATCTTTCATGATGATAAATTTTCCATAGGCTAACTGTACACAAAATATAATTGAAAGTCCGAATGGCCTTTTTCAACAGGGGAACCGTTGATACGTCACAAAATCGTTACACAATTGATGAAATTTTTTTTATATTTTACAATACTTTTTTGCTTTCTATCACGTACGTACTGTACATATGTATAAAATTTATATTGAGAACTTTATTAAGAATGGCTTACACATCGATCTACATGTCCGGATTAAACATTGCTGGTAATTTCCTTATGAGGCAATTTTGCTATAAATCCGTAATGTTGGTCATACTAATGGTATGTTTGGATGTTCAATAAATATTTGGTCGATTGTTCCAAACAATTCGGTATTTTGGTCGTATTGTACGTTATCTTTAATTTGCCGAATCTTTAATTGGTATTGTTCCTTCTTTGTTTTGA